CGGTAGTAGGCAACAGACTTAAAGAACATCTACACTAGAAATATTTTGGGCATACTTTGGACATGTATGCCTCTCAGAATGGATGCACTCTTTTATTAATGCTTCTGTACACACAGAGTTCACACACACTCTTATATGCAGTCAGACCCGCTTTATCCATTCACAATTAATGTCTGCTTAAAGTCCTGACAAGCAGTAACATACTCAAGCAAATCAAGTCAGGTGTAAATCTCTAGCTCACTGAGTACAGTGACAATCTAATTCAGTTAAATACAGTTTAATTCAAGTCAAAATACTTTATTCATTCAGACACATAAAAGCAACCTAAATAAAATGTCAGAAATGAGTTGAAATATGCAAGGCTTAAAAAAGGCAGTGATCAATCCATAGCTGGCAATATTCAACACTGCAAAGGGACATTATTTGACACTGAAGCTTAGGTTAAATACAAATTGAGAATATTCAGTAATGGCCAGTTCCTCACAGCAGGAACATAACATTATTTTGTAGTAACACTGTCAGACTCCCACAGAGGTAATTTAACTTCTAACATGGTGACACCCTGTCTTAACTTACTTTTGAGTGCTTAATATTGTCAGAAAAAATAAATATTATGCCTATTGAAATCCTAAATATACAGTAAATTATATATATTCATGCTTAAAATGTGAGCATATTTGTCATGCAAATGAAGGAAGAACACAATCTTTATGTTGAGAGAAAAATTTTATGTTTTGCCTAAGGACATATTCTTTAATAGTGTTATCTGAATAACAGATATTTCCATGGTTCTTTCAAGATTTTAACTCTTTTTCAAATAATTGTGATGATCCACCAGGAAAACTATAGCACACATCGCACTGAGTTGGTTCAGACACGTTTAACAAATGGTCCTCAGTGTGCTACTTAACTGTATTGAGTACTACCTGCCAACTCTCAGGTTTTTAGATATAATTTACACTGACTAGTGTTTAAAGTGTATTAAATACCATCTCTTGCAATCCTGCATGGTTCTGTTTACTTCTAGCATAACACAGAGTGAATGAGTGCTGGTGCATCGCTGAGCAGATGGTTTGAATTCGTTTAAATGAAAATTTCAACAATATTTTTTCATTACGAATCTGTCCCCACTCATATGCTGCTGATGTGACATGCTTGATTTAGCCTGTGGGTTAGATTTTATAAGCTACAGTTGTTGGAAAGTCTAACCTGCAGAGACACTGAAATGTTACTAGGTACTGTACATGTACACGAACATACTTAATAATACTTCATAAGTTAGAGAGAAAACAAAAAAAATAAGTAGAGAGGTAAAGTATGGTAGAGAAAAGCTGGATTTTGGGGGAAAAGATGTATATTGAAACAAAAGAAAGGTCCCTGCCTTCATCACAAAAAAAACTTAGAACAACATGTCAAAACTGTAACGTCTGCTTTACTGTGGGTGTTTCTGCCCTGTATATTTTAATCATTTAGACCTCTGAGGTTGCTGTTTCACATTACTCTTTGTTTCTTCTTTTACTTTCATGTTCAAAGCGAGAGTGTCAGGGAGATTGTCTGTAAAAAGACATTTCTTGCACACACATACACACCTCACACATGCCCTTTCTTTCTGCTTTATACTCACTCCTTCCTTTTTTGTATTCACGCACATGCACAAGCACACACATGCACACCAAGCTCACTGACAGGTCATTTCACCACAATCTATAGCTGAGTGGAGAGAGAGACAGAGAGGAGAGAGAGAGAGAGAGAGAGAGAGAGATGCTAAATATAGAGGCAAACTGAGCAGAATGCCAACGACTTTCAAGATCATATAATACAGACGGGCAGTATGATGGTTCAAATGTGCCAATAGTGTTGCAATTCAAGTGAAATAAGGTTAAAGGTTCAGTGTGTTACCTTAGAATGAGGTGTATCTACAGAGGGAGCGAGTTCTCGTCTATGGAGTCTGCTATGTTGCACCACTATGTTTCTACAGCAACCCAGAATAAAACACTGGCTCTAGATAGGCCCTTTCACATTTTTTTACGAGTTTTGTGGCCACTGCAGTGTCTCGTACACGCTTGGAATGAGAGGGTGTGAAGGGTTTTGCAGTCTGCAACTACATTGCTGAATCCTACACACTGGTTCTTTAAAGGATACTAAAACTAGATTAAACTTCACGTCACCAAGAATAGAAAAAAAACCCATTATTTTTGGAGCGTTCAACAAGCAAACCATCAGGCATTTCATGATACCTATTATTAGTGTTGCGAAATCGACAGAATTAGAGTTTTTAAAGGAGCAAATTAGCATTGAATTAAACATGACTGTAAATGATGATCTGAAACTGTTCTGAATCGTCATCATTTATCTTCCATATAACCTAACACCAAGTTGGATATCCTGGAGTTTGCAATAATACAATATTAGCTGCTAATTAGCTTAACCCTTAGGAGATTACATCAAGTTTAGAATAGTTAGTTAGGGAGGAGCTCCCAGTGTTACCGCATCAGGGTAGATAACATCAGGTGTTGTTTCATCATTCTTTGCCATACAGATGTCATCCAGTAATTAACCTCTCTCATTCTGGAGAGGATGATGCATAGTGAGGGAAATGAACATGGGGCTGTGTGTAAGGAGGAAATAAGTGAAAGGAGGAAACAAATTAAATAACTGAAGAGCATAATTTAGCAATTCAATGGGCACAAAATTCTCTCTCCATTAATTAAGTTGAGGAGATGAATTAAGTAATTCCAGGTTGGAAATTTTAAATACAAGGAAACAAATTATTATTACTACAAATTATTTTTTTCTCCCCTAAGACTTACCAGACTTAATAGATTGTTCAATTACTGATGGGATTTTTTTGATTTTTTTTTAATGGCTATTAAAATCTGGCATATAGTTTTTTAAGATTGAACCCTAGTGGTTCATAAAAGCTACACTATGAAATTTGCTATAATTTTAATTTTAAGTACCTCATTGAAGCCAGCAGTACCTGACACAAGGGACTTAAAGATAGCTGCAGCACCAGCATATCAAACCACAGAGTATCCTCTTGTGTATTATTGTTTTGATAACAGGCTACAGAACAAAGTGTTGAGCTAAAAAGCGCTCATAAATAAAAGGGAAGACAATTAAAGAAAAAATATATAATTAACATGGTGCTGTCACAGCTAGAGAGCATGTGTGTGTAAAAAGTAGGGGTGCCTCTCATAACGAATACTTTTAATGTCAAAAACAGTGTGTGTGTGTGTGTGTGTGAATTTGCAAAAAAAAGCAGTGGCTGTGTGCACATTGCAACCACCAACCCAAATAAGCATGAAAAAGGATCCGCTCAGGGTTCCCGGATAACTCACCTGGTAATGCTGGCGCCACATGTACCAAGGCTGGGTCCTTGCTGCAGTGGCCCAGGGTTCAAATGCGATCCCCCCCTTTCCTGTCACTCTTGATTACACCCCCCCCAAAAAAAAGAAAAAGGATCTACTTGTTTCTAATAGCTTTTGGTGTTCTATGTACATTCACCTATGTGCAGAATGCTATGTTTGGCTGATCAGCTGTGCCACTGTCGAGTCACATTGCTGTTACATGTCTTAGTGATGAGACACCTTTGGGCCTGTGATGTGAGTAATGATTTTCTAATAACCTGCAGCTTGTTAGCTCAGCTGGCTGGAAAACTGAGTGCCAAAATGTCTGTATCCTATTTGATATGTGTGTATATGTGTGTCAATGTGTACGGTTTACTAAAACACAAAAGTACAGACTGTCAGTTTCGATTTGATAGTACTTTGATCCACATTGGATGAATTGTTAAAAAACTGACGTAATTTCTTTCATCAGCGCCCACATTTTGTGGTGTCAAGATTGTTTTCAGTCTAGGCAATGGAAATATATATTTCAACATGTTTGTTTCTGCTGGTCATGTAACTGGGTTCTTGATGTCTTACTTTAGAGATATTTTAGTACAGATTTCATTTGCGATACCTAAAAGAAGACAGAAAAAAATAGGATAACAATGAGAGATTATGTGTAATTCAGCTGTTACATGAAACAACAGAAAATATTGTTTGGTACTATTAATACCTGAGATAGAGTACAGTAATTAGAGTACTCTTTAAAATGCAATATTGGGTTAAGATGTTAAGCATCACACACTTTCCTCATTTGAGCAGATACACTAAGTAACAGGTAATATTGACATAAAATTGCAGTTTTAAACTAACTTACAACAGGTGTGGTGCACCTAAAAGTATGTTCTTGATAAAACAACGAACCCTGTACTTTTTACAGACCTGGATGGCAATATTGCTCGTTCATGGGCTGCCAACCACTTTGGTCCAGACTAAAAAAGCTCTGCAACTATTTTATGGATTGATATGAAATGTTGCTGGTGTGCGTCTATCAGCTGGCGATCCTGTGAGGCAGACTGGGAAAAGTTGTTGTCCAATGTCCAAAAGCTCTTGCTGTACAGTCATATTGTAGGTTGAAGGAAGCCAGTTCACTCCGATTGTCCTGTCCATTGAGTTACCAATAAGCAGTTCAGCACTACAGCTTTGTTTCACTCCTGTAAAGTCAGCTAGCAATCTTTGTGTCTAATGCCGCAGACGCTAACTTAAGCTTCTCTACTCGTGCTCACTAGAAATCTCAAGGAAAAAGTGACTCTTGTGGCACCCGTTTAGAGCACCACTGTGCCTTAGTACAGCCTCACAGAGAGGTTAGCATGGCTGTAGACTCCAAGTCTTGAATCCAGAGTTTTTCTGCTCACTTTATGCACAAAACTGTTGGCACCTATTCATTTATTCACATTTCTGTGTAACTCTCTCAGTGAACAATCCTATGTGCATGTGTGTGTAAAGAAAAGCTTCATATGTTTTAATGGATTACAATGGGGAGTGGGTTACACTGTAACGATTGAATGTGCAGGATTTACTTTATATTCAATACCACTCAAATGTAGAGATATCGCTTTAAGCAATCATGCACTAACACTTGTCTTTTTTCTCTGTTCTCTTTATCAGGTCTTTGGATCCATCTCCCCAGGCCATCTCTCTTTTCAGTCCATCTACGAGTCACCACAATGTATCTTCATGTTGAGTCTTAATAAATCACAGCACACCAACTACAGGGTAGGCATGTTTTCACACACAACTTTAACTCTGCTAATTTTTGCCCTTCATGAATTCAAAACTGTGCTAATGGATGGATACAAAATTGACTATGCTCGGAACTGTGACAAGTAGCTTGTGTTGTTATTTCTCTTTAATTACACCCAAATTGTCAACAATCTTGAATTTGTACTGAAGTACAGTACTTGAGTAAATGTTCATAATTACATTCCCCCACTGCACCTGCGAGATTGTATGCATGTGCCCACCTACCTAATGTACCATAATAATATGAGGTTGAGTGCACTTATTCACATGTGAATGTAAATGTGCTTGAGTGTGTGTATGCTGTCTCTCTTTGGCTGTGTGTGTATGTCTGACGAGAGCAGTACTGTGGTCCAATGTGCTCTGACTCTGTTACAGATATATTAGCAGGACTGTAAGAGCATAGAGGCCAGACAGGTCTGCAGGCAGGCGGCTAAGCAGAGCAAAAATACTGCTATTAAAACTAGGTAGATGGAGGATCGATGGATGGGTGGATGTAAATCAAATAGGGATGCACTGTTATTGTACAGCAGTCAGAATTCATCAACTGTCACACTTTTCTGCTTTTGTCTTAACTGAAATTACATTTTAAAATGTTGTGATGGAGTCTCTTGGTACTAAGGTCTCACTTCATACAGAAGACTAAGGTCTCACTTCATACAAAAGTACTGACTATAACAATTTTTATTTATTAAGGTTTTTATTTTGGTTGGTAGATGAAGGGGTGCAAAGAAACATACACTCTTGTACACATAGATCACTGATCATGATCCACCAGACTTATTTCATCATTTGAAACACACAAATGACATTCAGTGTCATTTATAATGATACCTTTGATCACAGCACATTTTGCTGTCTTACAGATCTGGAGATGCCTAAGGGTGAGCTTTGATTCCTGAGCTGCTATCTGGTATACACACTGTTGTATTATCAGCTGTTTGGAAGTAAAGTACAGCAAATTGATGTCAGAAGCATTTGACCAGGTCAGGCCGAATGTAAACCTTTATAAACCAGCTGGACTTGTAACAAAGGCAGAATCAGACAGATTGTAGAGAGTGAAGATATTGGCACTGAGCCTGTCAGAGTGGCTTAACCCTGTAGACCACTGGGGACAGAGGTCAAAAGAAACAAAATATTCAAGATACTGAAACCGACATGAGCTATCAATCAGTGGGGAAAGCTATGAAGAGGTTCTGCAATGATCCACTGTACATTTATTCTTCAAACTATAATTTGTGGAAACTTTCTTTTCCACGGCTGTCCCTTGTCAGGTTTTGTGCAAAGTGTTGGGAGCACTGCCTTTTCATTCTTCTAAGTACTGTAGGTGAATGGAAGGCTGTAATACTACTACTTAAAAAACTTACTTACCTCTTCAGTTTCTACTGCTTTTGATTTCTTTCAGGAGCACATAAAGTTAGGAGTTTTTTCATTGGGCTTTCTTTTGGTCAATATGTGACTACTGGCCCCTACCCAAAGAGTGGTCATGAAGACAAGTCAGGCCATCAGTTAAAGTTTTAACACTTTTATAAACACTTCATAGCAGTGTTCGTCAGCAGTTTTCCCCAGCATTTTGACAAAAAGCATTTTCTGTTATTGCTTTTCATCCCTTTTTTAATGGTTGTATACATTGCATTTTGCACCATTAGGAGCCGTTAAACCTTTTGTCACTGTATTCTGTATTTATTTTCCTCTGCAGCCAAACACATTTTCTCAATATGCTGAATAAAGTGTTTCAGATTGAAGCACACAGTTATTAACTGTATATGTATAACTTTTATCTGGCAAGTTCAAAAGTCCTTAAAATCTCAAAGAAAGAGGATAAAGACATAGAACATTCCTTACCTGACCTTTTACTTAACACAGTGCAGGTGCTCCTTTATGTTATTCTCAGTTTTATAATATATGGTCAGCTAACTGTGATTTTGTACCACGAATAAGAACTGTTTAGTCACTAGAAAAGTCAGCAATTTCCTTAATAAAAGAATGTTGTGTGAATGCATTACTCTAATAATGGCCCTTTTGGTCATAACTGTTACATTATTTAACAGCAAAGCCAGTAATTATAAAAATTCACACCGATCAGCCATAACATTGTGACCACCTAGGCACCCTGGTTATGCCGCCCCATACGTAACAAACTGTGATGCACTGTGTGTTCTGACACCTTTCTATCAGAACTAGCATTAACTTTTTCAGCAGTTTGAGCTATATAGCTCATCTGTAGGATTGGACCACATGGGCCATCCTTGACTGTAAGTCTGATTCCTGGCTCTATTGCCTGTGCAACTTTAAATCTATATTACACCGTACAAAATTTAGACACAAACTATCTCTCCGAATGTAAGTGTAAATGGCTGTTTCTCAGTGAGGATGAGCTGTGTGTTTGCTGAACTGCTGTAAAATCAGAAGAGGTCCTATGAAGTGTAATTCTGCTACAGAAGCTCTCTCCAGCCAACCTATTACAGCGTATTAACTCTGGCTTACACACCATTTTAGAAGTGGTTCGAAAAATGATTTCATTACAGAGGTTGCAGAACAATTTGTACCACTATCCTGTTTTCTTTTTGCTGGTAGCCTTCCCTGCCTTGCTCGCAGTGTTTTATTTTCTGCCAGTACCCTGGAGAAACATCTGCCATGAGCAGTTTGTTAGAGTGAACTAAACAGCTTAAACATCCATGATATTTTATATTTCAGTGTGTTTGTTTTATCCTATAGAGGGGCAAAAATAGCCACTCATCCAACACTGTTGGTTGCAACTTTAGATGATGTATTTTTTTTACATTAAAATAACTTTTCCAAGAGTTTACAAAGAGACATCGAATCAGACAACTTACGTCTTATCTGTTTAATAGTTTCTAAGATTACTTGAGATTCTGTCTTTGAATCTGTGTGATCCGTTACAATACAGTCTATTTTTATTTCTTTATCCCCTTGTGAAATCTTCAGATTACACATCTGAATCGAATAAAGTATGCAGTGTGGTATCAGAGAAGTTTCAGCTTATCTAAGATTACTTATCTCAGAAATTGAAGGGGATTGATATAAGAGAATCAGATATTTGAAGTCTACATCTCTAGAGCGCAAGTTCACAAAGCCTAGAAAGACTGGAAGAGGTCACACTGATTCCTTTGTGTATGTGTGAGTGGATGTTTGTTTGAAGCTATCCCCTTGGGAAGTCCTTTTACACAGAATTAGAGAAAGAACAATCATCATCAACAAGCAACCATGTCCCCAGAAACATTTCTGTTGTATAGAGCTGGCTCCAGTCTGTTGTGCTTGTGCACATTACCACATTACCACATTCCTGTACTTTCTGTAATTGCAATTTGTTTTTAATGCAGTATTTGGTAAATATGTACAGTATTAGTCACTATTGGTTCGTAATAGTTGCATTTAATATGTTCTACATGCATACACATGCAGTATGTTGACACAGCAGAATATAATGTTCTTTTATTTCATTGATATTTAATGTGGGATCCTGACCTGTCTTTAATTAAGGTGGACCAATTGTGGGTACAGCAGTCTGTTGTATTTTCTTTTGTTCACACATGCACAGATACATATACAGTTGAATGGTCTTATTAGCCCCTCTAACCTTCTAAAAGTTCATAGACTAAAACATAAAAGGAGCAACATAGTATATACAATCCAATACATCAGAAATCCAACTGAACACAATTACTGCAGCTTAGTCTGTTCATTTAATGTTCTCTACAGTTGGAAGAGCTTGGCTGTCGTGAGAGGAGCAAGTAACTTCACAGTCTTCAAAAACAAAAAGTAAAGTTAGAGTTGACTAAAACTTGACTATAACTCTGTCGGTGTAAACTGTAAATCCACAAACCCTCATGTGGGCTGCTTGACTAGTTGTAGGCGAAGCAGTGAAAAAGACATTTGTGGTGCCTGTTTCTGTTCACAAACCTGTAATTTTCCTTGTGAAGACATGCCAGATTCAATTTTGTTTGGAGTATGCAGCTGGTTGTACAGTGCTGTCCATTCATGTGACTCGGATCACTCTTACACCACCAGTTTGTGACGTCAATTACTCACACAGGTCAAATGTTATGATCACTGCACCAGTCAGAGACACACACACACACACACACACACACACACACACACACACACACACAAAAACAAACACACACACACACACACACACACACACACAGAAACACACTCACTCCACTCACTCACACATTTTATTACTTCAATTTAATTACGTATGAGCCTCGTTTTAGATGTACCATGTTTTTAGGGCCATGGTTTAGTGTCTTTTCATCAAATTGGGGAAAATAAAAGATACATGCCAATAATGTTTTCTACATACATGACAGGACTTGTCTTAGGTTTAACAATGTCAACATAAAGTTTCTTTTGAATGCAATCCTTGGCCAGTTTTAGCCATATACCATAATGCGCCCAAACAGTGAATGAGGATGTCCCCCAAAAGTCTGGTTAGAGGGCTGGCATATTTATTTATTTATTTTATTTTTTAAGGGGCTGCTTGTGTTAGAACAAAGTGTTCTCGAAAAGCTGAAACAGAAGGACCAAATATATGCAAATATATTACTCATTTATCATTGTGAGAGAAAAATACATTAATATCTCATGTCTTTTAGCAATGGTATAATATTATAATGCATTTTGATGTGCAGTATACATTTAATAATTAGTTTTATCAAAAAGCACTTTTCACAAAATGCAAATGCTAGTCCAGATTAATGACCGCACCTTGGAAAATATTTTTTAATACCATTATCATGATATAATTATGGCGTTTCCGCCACATAATCAGATACCACAGTGGTTAGTGAAACGTGCAAGAATAAAAAAATTAATCTTAATGTCTTTTTTTTCCTCCATTTCGCCTTGTTATTAACTAAACCCAAAACTGATCTAAATATGCTCTAATATCTATAAATTAACAATCTACAATCTGTCCTGCTTCACCCTATATGGTTGAATCTAAA